CACGATTGCAAAACGAAAAATAATATAATGAGGGGTTCATTACCTCCTGCCGCCGTCAGATGGCAGCAGCATGCAGGGCGCACAAAATCGCAGCTGTTATTAGATTACTTTTCTACTTTTTGTTTTGCAACTAATGTTTTTCTATGGATTCGTACCGTTTTTTGGATTTAGGAAATTTTTGGATTTTGGCTGATTTTGTTAAAATTGTTCGTGTTTCGAGAAAAAAGTATTTTAAAATCAATACTATTTCACGTTGAGAGCGATAATTAAAACTCTCTTCTTGCTAAAGAATTTCAGATACCGTTCGACACTCTTAATGCATAAATATAAAAACAAAACAAGAAAATAACTTCAATGTTTAATAAATTTATATGACCCCAAATCAAAAAAAAAATTATCTATATATAAGTATACATTAAATAAATTCTGGTTCCTCATAAAACACTATTTTTATATATTTAAAACTCAATTTTTTTTTAAAATTTGGCACGTAAGTTGATTTTAAAACCTATTGAAAAATGGTTTTTATTTATTTAAGAACCAAAATCTAAAAGAATTTTTAAGTGTCAACTCATTTTTATTTAAACCTCCTTATGGCGCACCGTGATCTGATTCGTATTTACGGAATTTATGCCAAATTAATACAACTACATTTTATTTAATAGAAAATTTTAATATTTATTTAATTTATTATCAAATATATAAAGGCTTCACCATGACGATTTTGTGATTGCTTATAAAAAAGTATAAAAACAGAAAAATCAATTAGGAAAGGAATTTTTTTACCACACTGAGAAAAATGTTTAGTCAGAGCAACCAAAATTTGGTTGGGCCAACAAAAAATTTTTTGTTGGTATTTAAGCAATCAAACTATTTGGTTGAGTCAACTAAAAAATTTGGTTGAGTGTTTTTTGTTGGCATAACAAAAATATTTGGTTAGCCCAATCAAATTTTTTTTTTGTTAGGTCAACAAAAATGTTTGGTTGATCAAACAGGTTTTTTTTGTAAAATTAAAAATATTTTTCTACCTTTTCTCCTTTCTTTTTATCTTTTTTATTTATTTCATTATTTATTTATTATCAATTTAACATTGAATTTATATTTATCCAATTGAAATTTTTTGAGGACTTTGAAAAATCTCATCTCCGCCTGGGATCGAACCTCTGTTTTAAAACTGAAAATCGGGAGCTCTAACCACTGGACTACCCATTCTTGTGAAAGATTTAAACTAACTGTTCTCTTAAGCTGTGAGCTGAGAGCGAATCAAATTATTTGGTTGTCGCAACCAAATTTTGGTTAGGACAACAAACCATCATTTGGTTTTTTAGATTAAACAATTTTGTTGTGTTACCCAAATTATTTTGTTGTCGAAACCAAATTTTGGTTGGAATTTAAAAATGTTCAACCAAATAATTTTGTTGGCCTAACCAAATGTTTGGTTGAGATAACCCTACGACTTTGTTTCAGCCAACCAAAATTTGGCTACACTCAGAAAAAAGATATGTTTCAACCAAATGTACCATTTTTTTATATTTACCCAATTTTTTGGTTAGTTCAAACAAAATTTGTTTAATTCAAATAAATATTTATTTAATCTAAATAACTGTTTGGTTTATTTTAATAAATTTTTTTGAAGAAAGAAAAAATTTGATTGAGCTAAATAAACGTTTGGTTTGTGCAACCAAATGTTTGGTATTAACTGTATATCAATGCATTTATTTTGTTGATTTAACCAAAATTTGGTTGCTTCAAACGAATTTTTTTTTCTTAGTGTAGAAGAACCAAAATTGCTTAACCAAACAATTTTTGCTAAAGTATAACAAAGTTTAATTTCGATTTTTCATGAAATAATTCAGTTCTAATTAAAAGGCTTCACTATGACGATCAACGATTTTCAATCTATTTCAAAAAAAAAATAAAAAAAAAAATTTTGTTTTCATCAAGAAATTATACGCTACGTGAAGAATATATTATTAAAAAAAAAAAAAAAAAAAAAAATCATTAATTAATGCGTCGGTCACAAGGTTCCAAGTTCGAATTATTTCCGAGTATATAATCGTGAATGCAGATTCCGCGCGTTTACCAGTGGCAAAAAAGAAAATAAAGAAAATGCCGACTCTATTGCAGATGAAAATTCTCTCACTTGTATTTACACTACTTTTTTTTTTCTTTTTTTTTTTTTAGTCGATGCTTTTCATAGGGAAAAAAACACACACAGTGTGTCGGCGGAGTGAAAAAAATTGCGCGCCCACAGACGAAAAAGCGATGTTATAACATCCGTTCAGGGAAAAAAATAGGGGGGTGGAAAAAAAAAAAAATTTTTTTTCTGTTGATTTTGCAATTTCTTGTTTGGCTTGGATTAATTATTATTACTCCGGGGGAAAATTGATTACTAAAATTTTACCATTTTTCTCCCCCCCCCCGAAAAAAAACAGAAAAAGTGAATTTTACGAATGAAAAATCTTTATATTCAAGGGAGTTTTTTTTTTGTTATTTTATTTCTTTATTTAACATTTTAATTTTCTTTTTATTTAATTTATAATTTTATTTAATTTTTAATTAATTTATATTTTCATTTATTATTATTATTATTATTATTATTATTATTTTATTTATTAAAAAAAAAATTTTGATTATTAAAAGAATTTTTTTTCTCTTGTACAAGGAAAAAAAATATCAAGTATATATAGGTATTTATATCAAATATTTAATGTCGCGCATATATGCTATATTATTTATATTCTTTTGTTATATTAGAAAATAGATTTTATACAGGAAATGTATACATTAAATATAGATATCGAAACATATAGAAATTTGATTTCCATTTTGTGCAAATATTTTATCTTCAATATCCGTTTTCAATCTTTTAAGCCCAACAGCCATATATAGAACAATTGATGTTGACAAAGATATCCTAAATATATACATATATATATATATATAGATATAGGTATATGATATATATATATATCGTTGTATTTAATTCAATTTCATTCCGGAAATTTCGTTTATTCATTAAAGTATACCGCATTAAAATAATAATCATTATGCAGTGAAAAAGAAGAAGAAAATCTTATTTTTAGTTGCAAAATTTTTAAAGATAAGTTTTCCTTGATTTTCTTTGTTATTATATTTATTTATAATAATAATAATAATAATAATAATAATAATAATAATAATAATAATAATAATAATAATAATAATAATAATAATAAAATAATAAAAAATAGTAAAAAAAATATTAAACTAATAATAAATTAATAAAATGAGGGAAATGAAAATGAAATCAATTTCCTTAGCTATAAAAACGTTGGAAAATTCATAAAAAAAATGTAATTAAAAACATGAGTGTATATAATTATATATATATATGTACAACTGTCGATACCGATTATTTCCATATTTAAAACTTCTTAAAAATACTTTCACAAGTAATTTACAGAAATATAATATAAACTCTTTTTGTTTCATTTAAAATAAAATAAATTAATCGAATAATTTAACTTTTTCTCACCATAAAAATTTTACCGGATATCTCTCCATATATATATATATATAACTGCTAATATTATATAACTCGTATGATTTCAATGAGAAGTTGATTGAATTTGATTAAGCGGATTATATCGAAATCTCGTATAAATAAACGTATTTGAAAAAAGATATCTCTATTTTGATGAAAATTTGAACCCTTAAAATAATTGATAGACCCTTATTAAAAACAATTTTCGATTATATTCAATGGCAAAATATTCTATTGTATTTTTTTCGAAATTTATAATTTTTTTTTTTTTTTTTTTTTTACGAATTTAGTATTTATTCACGTATAAATACGTAGAGAAAGTGGGAACAAATATTAATAGCTTTTAAAGATTATAAATTTATTATTAAATTATTATTTATAAAATGAGAATTTTTTGGCTGAAAAGTTTTTGAAAAGTTTAACTGTGAAAGTTTTCTTGATAAAATAGTCACTCAGCAAGCTCTCAAGAGAACGGTGTCTTAGAATAATTTATTACGGGCAAAATGAAGATTGAAAGAATTAACTGGGGAAAAGCGATTCTACTTAAATTTTTCAACAAAAATATTCATTAAAAATTAAAAAGATAATTTTTTTTTTTTTTTAATAAACAAGAATAAACCCTTGATTACTATTAAAAATTTTAAATTCCTTTTTTTTGGAGATAAAAATAAATTAAGAAATAAATATTATGAATTTTTTTTTTAACAAGATAGAAAATAAAATAAATAAAGAATTATAAGAATGGGTGAAAATAAATAATTTTGACAGAATTTAAAATGGATAATGTTATTTCCCTCTTTCTCTACTGCGGCAATGTTGAATACTTGATATTGAACACAAAAATCGACTTCTTTCTCTCAGTGTATATATGTGTGTGTGTGTGAATTTTTGGTGGTTTCAAGAAAATAAATATTTGAACATGTCAACGACGAGTTTATATACTCCAGGTTATTCGTTGAAATTCATCAAAGATTTATGGGACAAAGGGGAGGGTTTTGAACTCCCGCTTACGGATTTGGCTTTTTCCACAAGAAAGGCAATTTAAGAAGCAAATCCGCGTAGTTTTTCACCTCTGAACAGAATTTAAATAATCTCTCATATACAAAATCAAAAAAAAAAAAAGAGAGAAGACAAATTTTCATCAATTTTTTTTTCTTTCTTCTCTTTATTTATAGAAAAATGTTAATTTTTGTCAGAAAATGGCATTTTCCCAAGAGAATATAAAAATTAATTTGCAAACGAAATTTTGTCTAAAAAAAAAAAATTCTCGTCGCTTATTTCTCGTGTGGAAAATTCTCAAGATTTGAATTTAGTAAAAGAGTCTGGAAAAAAGGCCTTGCGTGTTTTTTTTTTTTTTTTAAACTTGTTAACCCAGAAATATGCATCGTTAAAAAAGGGGAGCTAGCATATTCACTCTTTCATCCTCTTTCTCTCTCTCTCAAGTAGAAATGTAGTCATGTAAAGTGAAAATTACCTGCAGAAAAAATGTTTTTCTTTCTTTTTTCCCCTATGCCCAACGAATTTGAGGCGGTGGTGGCGGTGTTGGCAGCAACGGTGGCCTCTCAAGCGCTGGAATTGTCAAGACATCAGGCATTGCGAACCTCAATTTACGCCAGAATAATTTTTCACCCCACACAAGAACAGTGTGTGTTGAAATAATTTTTTTCAAATCCCTATCCAAATCCCTTGGGCATGCCTCACCAACAAGTAGGAGAATAACCGAACGATCTTTACGTTTAAGTGCCTCTCTCAATGCTAATTTAAATTCACAAGTGATCCATTCACTTTGCAAAAAATTGTCCGACAACACTAATATTGTACGACGTGATGATTCAGCGGCTTCGGCAATTGCATTCATCATTCCATTGCCCTCTGATAAATCACGATAATGTAAACACAATCTATAAGATTGTTCTAAACCCGGCACCAATACACCCGACACAAATGCCTCATCAATTGCCGAATATGAAATACAAGCGTCAAATGGTTTTTGTCGATCTTCAAATGCCGCCGTTTTATAACATGTACGAAATCGATAACGACTAGCGCTCCACGCACGTAATACACGATTATGCCTCATCACACCACAAATGAGGGCAATAATAATCAATGCAAGTACACAAATCACCAATATTAATGGTAGATACGCACCAAAGGGACGTACTTTGATTGTTGATGATGTGTTAGTTAACGCGGCACAATAGACAACCGAACCATTAACAAGTGTAATCATTGGTATACCCAATGAGCATGTAATTTGTCTCCAATCGCTAATCTTCTCTTTATTTTGAAACATCCATCCACCTGCCTTATCAACATAAGAACAATCACAATTCCACAAATTACCCGATAGCATAACATCCACTAAATATGGATTTCTACCCAATTGCCATAATGCAAAATTTTTCAAACGATTATTATTTAAATGCAACACCTCCAAATATCTCAATGTTTGAAATGTTCCATCATCCAAATATTCCAATAAATTATATTGCAAATATAATTCCTTTAAATTTTCAATTGGCACAAGTATCGCTCCATAAAATGCACTTATACAATTATGCTCCAAATGTAAAGTGACAAGTCGTTTTAATCCACTAAATGTATTATTACTAATCATTTCAATATTACTATTATTTGCATACAATATCTCAAGATTTTTTCTTCCAATAAAAGAATGTGAATTAAGTTCACCAAAATTATTACCATCTAAATAAACTTCAGTTGCATCCATTGGTACACGTCCTGGTATTATTTCATAAGCTGAATTTGAACAATCGACAACATTTGCCGACCATGATTCATCATGATAACAACTACAATTCAAAGGGCATGTCATTTCACAATCGCATGCATCAAAATCACAACAATGACACAATGCAAAACAATGTGTATTGTAGCTACATAAAAATTGTGATGATTTTGCTTCTAATAGAGATATAAATGAACGTCGACGATCGTATGGTAATTTACAATAAACTAATTCAAGATCCATTACCTTTGGATGTTGTCGTAAATTAAATTGATTTATTCTCTGTAACCATTCGGTGGTACAATCGCAAATAAATGGATTACCACCAATGTAAAATTCAGGTGGCGTTTCCTTTACTTGTGACAATTGAAATGCCGATAATTCCATACGTACAATTTGATTTGAATAAAGATCAACGCGTGTTAAATTTTCCTTATCAAAAAATGTTTGTGGCTCAACTAATGTAATAAGATTGTCATTTAAAAATATTAATTCCAATGAATTTGGTAAATTATTACCATGTATTTTTTTTAATTTATTAAATGATACATCCAATGTTTGTAGACGTGATAATTTTGGGGCTAAACCAAGTTGTTTTATTGAATTTTTATGAAGATCAAGCCATTGTAATTTCTCAGGTAGAAAATTATAATCGAATACATCGATTAAATTATCAGAAACATTGAGCCAAAGTAAACTAGTTGCATTGACAAAGGATTTTGTTATATCTTGCAATAAATTTGAATCAAGACGTATTGCCTGTAATGATGGATTTGTTGTAAATGCATTGTCATCGATATATTGTATTTTATTTTTTGCCAAATTAAGAATTTGTAACGCTGGTAATTCAATGAGTGCGTCTTGTGTTATGTTTATTATTTCATTGCCCATTAAACGTAGACCATAAAGATTTGACATGCCTTCAAATTTTTCCAATGTTTGTAAACAATTTTCACCTAAATCAAGTGTACGCAAAAGACGCATGTCTTTTAATGCAATTGGTATAACGGGAAAATTGTTACCCGACAAATGAAGATCTTGTATACTTGAGCAATTGCGAAACGCTTCTGGATGAATGTCCTCCAACAGGTTGAAATCCATATTCAAGAGGGACAATGCAAACAAGCCACTCAGTGAATGCGCATCAAGGTACTCGAGACGATTGTGGGAGATTTCGAGACTATGTAGATTGCTCATTGGTGAAAATGTGTCGGCTGATATTGTTGCAATGTCATTATAACGTAAATTAAGAATTTGAAGTGTATAAAGATCGCGAAATAATGTTGGATCAAGTTTAGAAATTTTATTATTTGATAAATCAAGTAGAACCAAACGTATTAAACCAGTGAATGCCTCTGTTTCTAAACCTTGATTTGTTAATAAATTATTTGATAAATCAAGTACAACAAGTTGATTCATATTTGATAATAATTCCATTTCAATGTGAATAATGGAATTATTTCTGAGTTTCAATTCTTTCAATGAATTCACAGCCTCTTTGAACAGTTGAGCGGGTAGGGTACTTATTCTATTGTTGGAAAGATCAAGAGTCCTTAAGGACCTAAGACCATGGAAGGCTTTATCCACAATTGTGTTTATCTCATTTTCCGATAAATCGAGTACATTCAAACGTTTCAACTTGGAAAAGGCGTATGGGGTCAATTGTTTAATGTAATTATTTGAAATGTCCAATGTTTTAATATCAAGTGAACATTCATTAAATGAATCGTTTATTGTTTGAAGAATATTGTATGAAATATTTAAAGAAACAAGATTTGATAGCGAACAAAATGTTTCGTTTGATATTAATTTTAATTGATTTAATGAAATGTCAATCATTTCAATTTGTGTTAATGCTTTAAATGCATTTTTATCTAATTGATGATAAAATGAATTAATAATTGTCAAATTTCGAAGATCACGATAACGTATAAGTGCCTTTTTCGACCATAGACTAAAGTCACATGCGGTTATCCTTAGGGCTCGTAATTTCCAAAGTCGAAGAAACTCGTCGACATCCGTTTCCTCTTTTGCCTCAACCTCCTCCTCATCGTCCGTCGCCTTCTCACAGGCAATGTTCAACGAAGTCACGTAGTCGCTTGCGATTTGCGTGAAGTTCATTCTCAAGGAATGGTTCCTTGGGGAATGGAAAATGCAATTTATTGCACCCTCGATACGCGGTATCCAAGCACAGTATTCCGGAAGTTGGAGTTTCGTTGAAGGCGTACTGCTCGATGATATGGTGAACGCGTGACGTAAGTGTAAAAAGAAAAAAATACACACCACCATCAAATGAAGTTCTCTCATTTTTGTAATAATTCTCACATATTTTCTCCCTTGAAAATTTTTTTCATTATTCTTTTAACAAAAAGAAAAGGATAATATTTTTGAAAAATCATTTTAAATTCTGATATTGTCACGTGGGATTTTTCCCAAATTGTCATTTTTTTCTTTTTTTTCTTGATGTGAATTTTCACTTTAATCGAGGTTCACAAAGAACCCCCCGTCATTGATGTCTACATCAAAGGATTTATAATTAACCCTTTATCACACACACACACACACACCGGGCACCCTTTACCGGCACTTAATTACCGGAAACACTCGCCGAAAAAAAGTGTTTCTTTTCACCTCATTATAAATGTATGTTTTTTTTTTTGGGGGGGGGAGAGGAATATAGAAAAAATTCTTTTTTGGAAAATTGAATGCAATTTGAAATAAGAAGGATATAGATTGAAAAAGAGAGAGTGATAGACAGAGAGAATTAGTGAGAGTGAAAGGGTAAGAAATACCCTTGTGTTTTGAACGGCTGCCACTGCACAACTGAGAAGAAATCTCCCGCAAAGTGTATCTCGACAACCCCCGTAAACGCAACGCCCACCGATCGTTCCTATCTCCACCAATGCCGTCACGGCCGTCACCAGCAGCGTGGCGAGATATGCTCAAGCCATTCAGACTGGCATCAATGCTCGGGGATTCCCCGAGTCCACCTGCCCGCATGCGGATAACACAAGTTTGTGCTCTCTCTCTCTCTTTCTCTCTCTCTTTCTCTCTCTCTTTCGACTGGTATATATGAAATCGGCGCAAAAACCCTTGTGCCAGCGCATGGCCAACAAGGAACGTCACAACTATGTATAAGTGTATATATATATATATATATATATATATATATATATATATTAAATGTATATAGTATATATGTTCTAATATTTGTATATACCTATATACACTTATACTTGGACATGGAAAATTTTAGTGGGGAATAGTTTTGATGTGTGATGGCCGCTTGCCATTCACCCTCGTCTTGCTCAGGCACGGATTTAAGGGCTACTTGAGGCACCCCTCTCTACACATATTATTCATTGCACAATTACTCGTCGGTAATAGCCACATACATAAATTGTCCGTTATAACCATGAAAAATTATGATTTCTCTTTTTTTTTCCTCGAAAAGGTAAAATAGGATTGTTTCTTATTTAAGCGAAAAAAAAGCATTGGAAATAGGTTGAAACTGAAAATCAACTCCAATTGGGAGTTAAAAATTCACTCTAAGTGTGAGTTAATTTTGAATTAACTCCCTTGGCATCAAGTTCCTTTTGCTTTAATTCCAAAAAGGATGTGAAAAAAAATTCGAGCAACCAAAGTTGAACATAATTTGATGCTAAGAATTAACTCCAAACGAGAGTTAAAAATCCACTCTGAAAGTGAGTTAATCTTAGATTAACTCCCTTGGCATCAAGTCCCTCTTGCTTTAATTTCGAAAGGATGTGAAAAAATTGGAGCAAAACAGAAGATGGGAATTAAATTTTTGAAGCTGGAAATCAAATCTACAAGTGAGTTAAAAAGTCCAAAAGAGTTAAAAATGTACTCCAAGAGTGAGTAAATTTTAAATTAACTCCCTTGGCATCAAGTCCCTTTTGCTTTAATTCCAAAAAGGATGTGAAAAAAATTCGAGCCACAGAAGTTGGAAATAATTTAAAACTGAAAATCAACTCCAAAAGGAAGTTAAAAATTCACTCCAGGAGTGAGTTAATTTTAGATTGACTCCCTTGGCATCATCCCCGTTTGCTTTAATTCCAAAAAGGATGTGAAAAAAAATTCGAGCAACAACAGTTGGACATAATTTGATGCTAAGAATCAACTCCAAACGGGAGTTAAAAAATCCACTCTGAAAGTGAGTTAATCTTAGATTAACTCCCTTGGCATCAAGTCCCTCTTACTTTAATTTCGAAAGGATGTGAAAAAATTGAAGCAACAGAAGTTGGGAATAAAATTTTAGAAGCTGGAAATCAAATCCAAAAGTGAGTTAAAAAGTCCAAAAGAGTTAAAAATGTACTCCAGGAGTGAGTAAATTTTAAATTAACTCCCTTGGTATCAAGTCCCTTTTGCTTTAATTCCGAAAAGGGTGTGAAAAAAATTCGAGCCACAGAAGTTGGGAATAATTTAAAACTGAAAATCAACTCCAAAAGAAAGTTAAAAATTCACTCCAAGAGTGAGTTAATCTGAGATTGACTCTCTTGGCATCATCCCCGTTTGCTTTAATTCAAAAAGGATGTGACTTTTATACTCTCTAAATTTGAATTAGTAAGACTTTAAAAAAAAGGGTAAAAAGGGTAGTTAGATTTCAACTCCCTATGGGATTCTATAAAAATCGCACCCTCTTGGAGTTAAAGCAAAGAGAGTTGACGCTACACTGTAAAAAAAAGGAGTTGAATTTTAACACCCTGAGGGATTCTATAAAAGTCCCACCCTTTTGGAGTTGAAGCGAAGGGGGTTAATGATTCAAAAGTTAATTTTATCCCTACGGAGTCAGTTTTAAGGAGTTAATTTAAATATTAACTCCCTTTTGGATTTGATTTTTATCCCTAAAAATTTTATTTTCCTTATCAAACAAGAAAATTAAATTTAAAAAAAAAAAAAATAAGTTTCAATAAACAAAAATATCTTCAAAGAATTTAACCATTTAAATTCCATTAGTAGAAAAATATATAAAGCAAGTATAATCATAAAAAATAGAAGGAAAAAAAAAAATTTTCTCCACCATAGGATACGTGTAAGAAAGAATTCAAGATGCATGGAAAGGATTTTCTATACAATTGACGATGAAAGATTCTACATGCAAGAGAAGATTCTATCTACAATTGATGATGAAGGATTCTGCTCAAGAGAATCTTGGAAGAGATGAAATTACAACTGGAGCTTGATGAAAGAATTTTTGTAGAAGATACAGAGAGTGAGAGAAAGAGGGAGATAAAAGAGAAAGAGAGAGAGAATCAGTAAGTGAATGTAGGAAGAGAAAGGAAGAGAAATTTTCCAATGTATATGTGTGAGAGAGTGAGAAAGTTTTGAATAATGGGAATAGGTTGAGAGAGGAGAGCATTGTATAAGGGAAAATTGCCCGAGGCGAAAGAAAGATTGTAGACGGTCCTGCGCTTTAACATTCACCCTTCTTGCATGTAGTGGCTGAATTTTACCCCCCTTCATGTTACGTCACAAAGTGCAGGGGGGTTGATGGCATGCCTTTGGGTTCTTCCCCTCATGTCATAGACGACTACACCACGTGCTGCGCATGATTCTCGATCGTGCGCACAAAATATTTTCTCTCTCTCTCTCTCTCTCTCTTTCTCTTCATACTATACATTTCCAATATTTCCCCCCCCCTCCCTATCCTCTTCTACAAAAGAGAAAATAGCGTCTACCCCTTCGTCGCCTCGCGTGCGCCCTTTCCACTCTCGTGTACTTTTAATCAGGGCCGGTTTCAGATAAGACAGCACCCGACTAGACGTGGGAGATTATCTCGACACCGCATCTTATTGTTATAGCTATCTATCTCTCTCTATATATATATATATATATATATAGGGGTGGGTTTCCTAATTTTTTTAAAGCCCTTCGCTAATTTCCTCGAGACAATTAACGAGAATGGGAGTGAAGGCTATTTTTCTTCTCACACACATATATATATATATACAGAAGGCAGTACGTCTTTTTTTCTATATATATATCAGATTAGATTTTCAATTTGAACCCCCTTACTTTTTCGTTTTTTGGTTTTAGTGACAGTGTGTCTCAGAGAGTGATTGAATAGAGTAGCGATACCCACTCTCCATTTTTTTTTACACATTTTTTTTTTTTTTTTTTTACTCTTTTTTCTATTCTCTGAATTAGTCAAAAACTATTAAATGCAATGAAAGAAAAATAAAATGGATCTGCTTTCATTGTGATGGAGAGAGACATTGATTTTATTGAATTAGTGCGAGGAGAAAGAGAAAGAGAATTTCTCTCGTATTAAAAAATTGAAGAAACACGAAAAACGAATTTCAAACTTTTAGTTGTGATTGATTCGCTTTTTCTATTCACTATTTGAAAAAGTTTTTCTGATTTTCATAAATAAAAAAAAAATATATATATATATATAGGTATATATTTTTATTTATTAGTTTATTTGTATTTATTATTTTATTTATATTTTTTTTAGTTTATTAAATATTTTTTCAATTTGTTTATATTTTTCTACTTTATTTTCACAGCAATCTACCTTACCGACTGATGATAAAGCAGTTTTTTAAATACAAGCATAAAAATTTACCGGCACAGGAATCTACTTTATCGACTGATGGTAAGGTAAATTCCTGTGTCGGTACAATTTTAGGCTTGCATTTTAAAAACTGCTTTATCATCAGTCGGTAAGATAGACTTCTGTGTCGGTAATTTTTTACATTTTCATTTTTCAAAAAAAAACCGTTTTACCATCAGTCGGCAAGGAAGATTCCTGTGTTGGTAATTTTTTATATTATCATTTTTCAAAAAACCACTGTTTTATCATCAGTCGGTAAGGTAGATTTCTTTGTCGGTAATTTTATATATTTTTAATTTGTTTATATTTCTTATAATTTAATTATATTTTTTAGTTTATATATATATATATATATATATTTGCAAAAACATTTAGAAAAGTCATTTTCATTGTTTCGCATAATTTCTTGCCCCCCAAAAAATAAAAATACATTGAAAATTAGTTTCTTTGTAAATTTTCTCCTATTAAAATTGGCTAAAATTAAAATTTAATGAACTTTAGACATATATACGCAATAGAAGGATAATAATGAGAATTTAAAAAAAGCTTTGTAAAGCCTAGGCTGTAATTATTAGTTATTCTTTTCATATCCATAAAACACAATATTTGAACTAATTTGAACGTATATATTAAACGAATAAAATTTTTTTTTGATTTTTCAACACACACACATACACATATAAAAAAAATGTCTGTACACCGCAGTAACAGTTGTAATTAAAGGCAATTTTTTTTTTAGATAAAAAATTATGTTTGCAAAACTGACAAATATTTGGATTTTCTCTTTGGTTTTTTTTCTATAGAGAAAATACGTAGCGCGAAAAAAAGCTCGACTTTCAAATTGTTATTTTCCACTTTTTACCCTTTGTATGTGTGTGTGTGTGGTGATGAAACTCAGCTTTTTTTATACACGTTTATAAATAATACATCCACTCTATTCTTTGGTCAAAATTAAAAGTAACTAACTGTCAAGCGAGTTAACGGGGTGGATATATAAAACGTCACTTTGGAATTGTGTGAAAAAAAAGAAATAAAAATCATCCGACTTTAATGTATATATATATATATATATATATATATATATTTTTTTTTTTTGAAAGTTTGACACAAAGTTTAATATCATAATTCCGGGGAAATTTAAATATATATTTATTAAAAAAAAATTCAAAATAAATGATATAGATAATATTACTTAATATAGAGATGACAAATTTGGGTTAACTGTTGTCGAGTTACGAAAATGATGGATTTATCGTGGCAGAATGCCCATGTATGGATTTGACGAAACAATATGTATGTTCGAGAGAGGGAGAGTGAGAGATTGAGTGAGTGAGAAAGAGAGCGAGAGAGAGTGAGAGATAATCCATGCACTCAAGAGCTTAACACCAACAGTCAGTCGACTAAGTGCCAACAACTAATGAGCCTTTTGTACGT